ACCAGGTTGGTTGTTGGCCATGGAAGATGATATGGAAAGTAAAAATTCCATACAAGGTTGCTTGCTTTACATGGATACTGGCAAAAGAGGCAGTACTAACACAGGACAACTTAATCAAAAGAGGATTCCACCTGTGTTCTAGATGTTACTTATGTGGAGAGGAGGCAGAGACAATTAGCCATCTTTTTTTGCACTGCAAACTCACTGTACAACTATGGAGAATCTTCATCAGCTTAAGGAAAATTTCATGGGCAATGCCGGGAAGAATTAATGATGTTCTAACTTGCTGGAATAAAGAGGGCAACATTTCTAGCTATAAAGAGAGATGGAAAATAGTTCCAACATGCATATGGTGGACAATCTGGGAAGAGAGAAACCAAAGATGTTTTGAAGACAAGTCCAGTAACATCCAGAAGATAAAGATGAAATGTTTGGCTCTTTTCTATTTTTGGTGTAAAGGAAAGTTTATGGAGGATCATGAATCCATTTTTGATGTTCTAGATTCCTTGTGAGATGACCAAGGTTTTATGGGCACTTTCTTTGTAAATATGGGTGACTTCACTTTTTTAGTGAAGTCTTTTTATTAATATATAAATATGTTACCTTCTCAACAAAAAAAAACAGGTCAATCAGAGTCTAACTAAGCCAAGTCATACCTAGTGTTAACCTTTTAAAATGGACAGGGTATTGTTTTCCCTTTTGCAAAAGAAGTGACAGGAAGAAAAATGAATACCTTCATATACACAGTCTGGACGCGACGACCCTGTATAGTTTTTGTATAGACTAATGAAGTTGAAGAAACATAATCAAAAGATTTTATCTTGAAGAGTTTTCTGGAGACTATTCTTTTTCTTCTTTCATTATCAGCCTCAGAAGATTGTGAAAATTTTGTTTTTTGTTTGCTCCCTAACTGGTGGAGTTTATGCAGAAGATGAAGTGGAGCAGCCAAGCAGCCCATCTGTGAAGAAGACTGAAGAAAAGGGAGTCACTTTAGTCCATGAAGTCAAATGTAAACTTTATGTGAAGGTAACATATCAAGTGCGTACTCCTGTTCAGAGAGAAATATATCATGTGTAGTTCTTTTTGGTGTTGTAATCATATTACTGGATGGTTACTACCCATTTTTCAGGTCTTTAAACTTCAGCTATATTTTGTCTTGTGATGTACTATCTTTTTTTTTCTTTTCATACCATTCCAGTTTATGTGAACCTATTTCATTTTTAGTCTGTTCCAAAAAAATGACCCTTTTCTAAATTTGAAAAAAAATTAACTTCAACTTCCCATTTATCCTTAATAAAAAGTTTTTACAGCCACACAAATGTTATGGTCGATTTAAAATTACAAATTCCATAAGTCTTCCTTTTTTTTTAAACTCCGTGTCCAGTCAAATAGGTTCATATAAATTAAAATGGAGGGAGTAACACTTTTCGTTTTTATTTAAACTGCGGTTGTCTCGTCTATTTTTGTTTGAGGAGTAACTTATGCATGTCAACAACTGACTAATGAACTGAACTGTAGTGGTCAAATCGTGTGTGAGACATGGAATAGCTGATATTCTTTAGCCTTCCCAACATTCTCTATAATAATAGTTACACTGCTCTATGGTATGTGCAAGGGTAGCTTCAGCAGGTGAAGCACACTGAGCAAGTCGCAGAGTCATGTCCAATTAGTTGTATTCTTTTGTGTTTCGCATGTATGACTGCATTTTTTCTTGCATTAGATTGCTTTAAGTTTTGTATAAAAGGACATTCTTATGCTACAGAAAATTCTTATACAGATTGCTACGTTCTCTCACTGTGATCTCATATAACAACATTTTTTGGATCAGATTCTCATCTTATTATCACCATTTTTTCGTTGTCGTTTAACTTTTTTACTTTATTCATTGCAATCAGACTCGTCATCAAGGCACTATAGTTTCATGCTTCTAGTGGATCATTCTATAAGTTTCGTCATGAAGATTCTTTTCGAGATTCAAATTCATGTTATTGACTTATTTTTATTTGTATTAAAATTATGTTGAGTTTGAGTTTTTTTGACTAATATGTTGAATTTGAGTTCTCTTGTGTGATCTGCTATCTGCTCTATTTATGACATTTCTTCCTCTCTCTTTTTTCCTAATTCCATTTGCTCAGTCAACTGATCCAGCGGATAAAGATGCATGGAAAGACAGGGGCACTGGTCAGCTTTCTATTAAGTGTAAAGAAGGTGTTAGCAAAGGTACCCGGGAATCCAAACCAACTATTGTGATACGAAATGATGTAAGTTCCTACCATTTGTTGCTGCCAGTGCACCCCCGTACCCACCCAAACTAAAGTAAAATGAAATAAACCTAGTCCCAACAAGGAAATAATATCCTTCTATTCTCTATTAGTTTATTCTGCTTTTTTTCTTTGTATCTTTGAGTAGGAAGCGACTCATATATTTGTCAGTTGAACTATAAAGGCAGAACTGTGAAATGGGAATCGCAGTAGCAGTATGTTCTGTTTAACCTTTAGCTTTCCCCTCTCTTCAGGGTTTATTTAATTTAGTATTAATAACTAAGATAACATTTGCCACAGCCTTAGTGGGCGACTACCGGGACGTATGCTAGTGGGAGATAGCAGTAATCTAGTGGAATAGTCGAGGTGCTCACATGTCACCACGGGCACCTCTGTTATAAAAAAGAACGAAAAAGAATAATACTAGATGTAACATAAACAGTGGGAAATTGGGATGTCCTTTACTCTAAGGGCCGTATTGAATTGGTCAAGAAGACAATTTTCACTTCTCTCTGACTTGCCATAAAGTAACTAAAAGAGAAGATTCTTATTTCTCCTACATTTGGCTCCTTTTCTTTACCCTAGTGTCTGAACAGGCCCTTAGTTTAGAAAGTATTTTTCCCGTGTCTGAGGGGGATAATGCTGGATAATTAACTGCTTGCTATTGCACTTTTTGGGAAAGGAGTATTTTAATCTTGCTCTTCAGACAGGAGAACTAGATCACACCTTAACCTTTCTACTTATCGAAAAAGAAGATTACACCTAACATTTCTTTTGGCGTATTTTATACTTGTTGCAGGTTGGAAAGATTTTGCTTAATGCATTGTTATATCCAGGCATTAAAACAAACATGCAGAAGAACTCCATTGTTGCAATATTTCATACCTCGGTAAAATTTCTAAACCACGAATCCATCTCATTCTTAGAAAATTCTCGCCACTTGAACAACTCCCTGTAAATGGAAGTTTAACTACGTGGTTCTTCAAAGCTTAGACAATTGGCAGTTCAGCACTCATTGTAAATACCATTCTTCAAGTTTTTTTCCCAATTTACTTAAAACAATAATGCTAAAACTTGAAGAACTTAGTTCTATTTCCAACTGCATTAACTGGTTGCTTGTACTTAGGGTGATGGTGATAATGATGATGCTGTGGTCGCACGGACATTCTTGATTAGAACGAAAACCGAGGAGGATCGAGATAAATTGGCGGCAGTCATCCAGGAATATGCTCCTGCTGCCTGAGGACTACCTTGGCAGCAATTCTTTTTCTGCACCATACCCTCCTCCGGGCTGGACGGATGCTTGGAATGGATCGCTTTACCTCTTCGACAGTTTCTTGGAAGACTCTTGACGGTGTAGCAGTTAAATTATAGCTTAGCTTATTTTGCAGTACAAATGAACTGATCCTGCTTTTGTGGGAATCCTGTCCCATCGAGAGGCTTTTACACACTGTATTGTATAGAGGAAAGAATTTGAGATGCTAGTGCCCAACAGAAAGGAAAGAAATGTACACATTTCTAATTATTGTTGGAGAAGAGAACCTGTTTCATTCAATTTTTCCATCTTTGCCCGCTCTTGTATTTTTCAATAGCGAAATGCCATACTCAATCGCAAAATAGGCTGCTATTGCAAAAATCTATTTGTATATTGATTTATGAACTCATCATCATACCCAGTATAATCCCACATGTGGGGTCTGGAAAGGGTAATGTGTACGCAGACCTTACCCCTACCTGGAGAGGTAGAGAGGCGGTTTCCGATAGACCCTCGGCTCAAGAACGTGTGGAGAGGAAGAGAAGGGAGAAGAAGAAATAGGGGGAGGAAAGAAACAACAAGGAGACAAAGGACGATAAGACAAAAGGAGAAAATAGTAGCATCAAATAGTATCAATCACGTAGCAACAGTTCCAGTGAAAGTCAAGAAAAAAAGTAAAAGTCGAGAAAAAAGTAGCATGAAATAGTAACAAGCATGAAGCAACAATTTCTAGTAGCAATTCACAAAAATAGTGGACTTGACTGCCAAGTACCAGATATAATAACAAACAAGAAGAAAATATCTTTCAACCGGCAACAAGAATATTAAGAATATTACTAGTACTACTGGTAACCCTAGGAGAAACTCACAACTACCGGATGGAATTTTATGAACTATGAAGTTTAAATAATGTAGAAAGATTAAGACCTGATTTGATGAATTCAGAAATTTTACACTGTAACAAGCTAACCTCAAGGCATAAATACAGATCACTAGTTGAGGCTATCTCATAAATGTACTTACTAACAGCTGAACTTCAAGTTGACTGTCAATGTGATTTGCAGCTATCCTTGGTAACTTGCACCACTGTACTCTAATTTCTTAATATCACCAATTTCCTTCTGCAAAACCTGTTAACTAAAAAGAAAAGCATGCCCTACCAAATTTGAACCTTTTTGAATTATATCATGCGGACATTATTCCAAGTTGAAATGGGTGCCATGATCCTCACTTTACAAAGGCAAAACACAGCGGCAACCTCACCAGTTACTCAACCGATCCAGCAATATCGCGACTGCTCTATTTTGGTGCAGACTTTTTAACACATCTTAATATAGCAAGCACTGCATACATTAGGCTCTGCATAACAGTTAGGAACCTTACACGGCTAGGCGACTCTCTTCACTCTCAGGGAGCACAATGTCTAGCCTCATCATAGGCTTATACTTGTGAGGTATTTGAGCACCAGCCTGCATACAAACTTCAACCACAGCTGGAGCCTTCCCATAGAACCTCTTTAGTGCACTCCTCAAAGGGGTTCCTTTTGGATCTCGAACATGCCACACATAGTTTGGGGGAAATACCTCATCCACTGTTGCATCTTGCCAGCCATGTTTTCCGTCCCTCCATTGGTGTTTAAATTCCCCACAGAGCTTCGCATTGTGACCCCATGGCCCCACATGGACCTCTGAACAGTATCCACAAGCTTTGACAGTGTACTTCTTCATCAACCTAGTCACCCCCCATTTCACTTTCTCATATGCGTCAATTGTCTCCTGGGCAATACGTGGCACCTCTGACTCCAATGGTGGAGTAAACCGTTCAAAAGATCGATGGGTGTCAAGGTCCATAATTACCGAACTCGAGTTTACAGAGGGTCTAGGCTCCTCAACTAATCCACCTATGTCGATCACTTTCTTTCCCATCATTCTGATGGGTTTAGTCCTTCTCCGTGAAGGATATCCCGGCAGATCCACGCCAGCTTGGATGCAAAGTTCTACAACTGCCGGAATTCTGTCGTAATTGAACCGTGTCTCATGCTTAATGCGTGTGCCAAAAGGATCATACATATGGTATGACTCGATAGGAATTAGCACATCATTAATTGAACCCTTCACCCATGAGTGGAAGCTTCTGCGACTACTGTTGGTCGGGCCAAGGCAATCCTGAATGTCGTTACCACTTTGAGCAACATGGATTTGTGAGCATTCACTGCAGGAAAAAACTAAGAATGTGAGTTGATAGAGAAATGAAAATGCTGCTCATTAACTTTATAATTAAACAGGGTTCAAAAATCAGTAAACTATCATTTTTAAAAGTTACCTACAAGCATGGACAGGAACATAGTGGAGAAGCTGTGAAAGTCCTTTAATCAAAAGTTTCCAAGCATCCAATACTTCATAAGCCACCGGAATTAGGTCAGGTACAAGCAATCCATTTTTAGGGGGTTCAAGCTTCTTTTCTATTCCCATTTCTGCCAACTTCTTATCAGCCCTAGCAGCCTGCTGAATTTTCTTGAGAGGCATGGGATAGGGCTTCTTCTTTTTCTTGGGCAGGACTGGGGGAAGATCAACATTCTGCTGCACAGCTTCACGTTTCTTAGAGTTTCGACCTTGGGGATGCCTCCTATCAGTACAAAAAATGGTTACTCGTCTTCTTGGACCAGTAGCATGATATCTACGATCAAACTGCAGCCAGAAACAAAATACTTTAGCCTTCACATCAAACATAAGGAAAATATGTAAGGCCAAAATCTCAAAACATTCACACTTCACTTTTTTTTAAAAAAACATAATGAAGCTTTTTTCTCAAAAATAAATAAATGTAAGTATAAAGTATCTCGCACATATACATCTCTCGATTTTTGGCATAGATATACAGAGCCTATAAGAATAACATTTGACAGTTGAGAAAAAAATCATTAGCTTGGGTGCCTGTACTCAAAAAGAAACTCATTCATGTTTCTCTTTTGGAAAATTGTAAAACTGTAGCGACCTTCAGTGCGAATCTGAAAATTTCATGCTGACACCAATTACAAACTTGTGCTTTCAACCTCCATTGCATTGCTTTCCTTACAAAAAGTAGCTCACCATGAGCTCTTTCAGTCCACGCCTCTACTCACTAAAATATCTCTCTAACTTAAAAAGTGTCTAATGGAAGCAAGTTATTATTCAATTAACAGACTGGTTTCCTTCTATATAACCTCTGACACAGATTTTCTACTTTTTGCTGGCTTTCCTTTTTCTTCTCTACAGGATACATTAGATTGAATTTAAGGTATTCCCAGGACAGCATCGTAGCATGATATTAATTACTATGATAGAGGGTAGAACATTTTCTGCCCAAGTACCAAGTATTGATCATGACAAGATAAATAAGTTGTTCTTATGTTGTGTGATAACTAATAGAATTTGGCTACAATCATGCTTTCTTGGGACAAACATTACAAATAATTCCCAATTCCACTATGCATGAATGCACAATCTGCATGAACTTTGGACTCAACTTCTCTTCTTGAAATATATCATCCTTTATTCTTCAGAAGGCACATGAGAAGATCAAGAGATGAATGAGTTTCCCCTGGACACAGTACTGTAGGGCACTAATTATTGAAGCGGAAATCTGACTATAGTGTCCACTATACTTGGACAACACCCAACTAAGAAAGAGTAAAAGTTGCACAACATAATCACGAAAGCATAGTGCTAAGTACTTATACATATGCTATGATACTACTTGCTTCATCTAATTATAGCTCGAAAGAAAAATCTGAAAGCAAATAAATGAACAATCATTTAAGCAAAATAACATCATCTAGAACAGAGGGAAAAGGCACCTTTAGAGTAGGCAAATAAGGCCCTTGCCGTGACTTCTTATATACAACCACGCTGGGACAAGCACCTGAAAATGGAAGCCACGTGAAATATTCTCCACAAAAGGTTCTTATACTGACATATACAGAACTTTCATAAATTTCCCTTTTTTTTTTTTTTGAATCAATGAGCTAACAACAACAACAACCCAGTATAACTTAGTGGGGTTTGGGGAGGGTAGTGTGTACGCAGACCTTACCCCTACCCTGGGGTAGAGAGGTTGTTTCCAAATAGACCCCGGCATCCTTCCCTCCAAGAACTTCCCACCTTGCTCTTGGGGAGACTCGAACTCACAACCTCTTGGTTAGAAGTGGAGGTTGCTTACCATCAGAACAACCTCTTGGTTGCTAACAATAATTCGTAATCTCCTAAAGCATATTATATAAAGACTGAGGTTTTCAAGGTTTACTATTGTATGCATCATATGTGTTGCACATGAAAGTAACCACCAAAAGATATTTCCTCCACTCACTCAAGTAAAACATTTGTATCAGATATCCTTTTAAACTAGAACTTAAAACGATAAGAAATTCTGACATGGCAAAGACTTGGAGCAGGAATTATTTGGAGATGGCTGCCATGGAGTATATGTCAGAGCTGGAAAATTCTGAAGCATCTCTTTCTCCTTGCTTTCTGTCTGCCTGCTGGCTCCAGTGAGTATGCAATTTTTGCAACTCAAAACTGTCCTACAAATGCAGTTTAACTAGTTGAGGAACTAAAATGAAGATGAACCAAAAAAGCAGATTGAATCACTAGATTAGCTAACAGGGACACTTGAAACTCTAAAAAGAAATATTTCACTAGTTTCATGACTTAAATTCAAGAATTTTCGTTCAAGAACAGAATTAATCAAATACTTATAGGAGCATTGTGAAGCAGAGTTCAATGCCATTCACATTCATTTTGAGGTCCTAGGATGTAGAGCAAAAACCAAAAATATCCTAGAGCAATTTCAATCAATCTGGCATATTAATAATTAGTATGATAGTTTTTCCCAGGAAACTTTTTGGACATTGCCACCAATTCTCACAGAGTCGCATATGCAATTCGCATAATAGTGGGGGACAGAAACCTACATCAGTACCTACCTTTTTACCCCCAACCACACGTTGTCATCCCCCAGCCTCCACTTCGGACCAACCTATGACCACATAATTTCCATAAACCAAGGTTTTTAAACTACCTTAAAAACTGAGACCAAAATCCCATCTTGGAGAAAAAAAGAAGAAAACAATCCTGACTTACCAAATAAACTTTGAAATGAAGTTTTTTATCCAGGAAAAGGGTGGAAAGTTGAGCTTACCTCACTTTCTTGGGTCTTCTTGTACTAGTTCTGCTTTTTACGTTTACTATTAATCCAAGTAAAGAAAAATCAGGTGCACCACTTTGAACTAGTGTTTGGTAGATTGGGTGCGATAGAAAAGCTCTAGGAAGCCTCAAGCTCACAAGGTTTTAGCAGATTAAGCAGTAGAAAATTAATTAAAGAAAAGAAAGCTGAGATTATTAATATTTATTACTTGGAACCATGAGGTTTCTAAAGTTTATACATACACCCCTCGTGTTCTTTAATTGGACTTAAAGTTCACTATGTTTTTAGAACTCTTTAGCCAAATCAATGAACAATGTGCAATCCAGCTCCTATTAACTACAAGTAATTGAGGAAAAAGAGTAATCGATTATTATCGAGGAATCAAACAATCTTTAACTACAACTTTGTTCAAACGTTTTCATACTCCCTCCGTTTCAATTTTTGTGAACCTATTTGACTGCGTACGAAATTTAAGAAAAAATGAACACTTTTAAAATTTGTGATCCTAAACAAATAAAAAAGAGGCCCTGAATATTGGTTATAAAAGCTTATCATTAAGAGTAGAATTGAAAGTTTAAGCTAAATTATTTATAAATTTAGAAAGGGGTCTTTCTTTTTGAAACGGACAAAAAAAGAAAATAGGTTCACATAAGCTGAAACGGAAGGAATAATACTTTCGCTTAAGTTTCATAATATGTCAACATTGTTTGCAAGAAATTTAAGGACTGAAACTCAAATCTATATCAAAAATCAAATAGATTTTCGCTCATACTCAATATCTCACTATTCTTCTTTGGACAGAGGGAGTACTCCTTAGCTTATATAATTGAGATGTGACTATCTGCATATGACAAGTGAATTCAAAACTGTAGAAACATTTCTTGCTGAAATGAAAATGTATATTCGAAAGACAAAAACAATATATACGTCCGAGAAACAAAACAATAGAGGAAAAGGCTGCACAACCATTCCAAATTCCCTAGAAGGCGATTGATCCAAACTCCAAATTATGGCCAGAAAACACATAATGTTGAGTGGTTGATGAATAGCCGTTTATGCTTTCATGTAGGAAGGCAATTTGAGAGTAACATCAAATAGGCCACTGCCCTGTGATAGGGGTCCAGCCACAGTAACATATTTGATCAAAAGGTGCTTACAACAAAACGATCTTCTCGTTGCAAATACATTCAAGTCATTATTTGATAAAATAAAAACGTTATTCCCAGCCAATCAATAGGGACAGGCCTTCTCAAATTCCTGTTGCTCTTTACGACACATCTCAAACTCATTTGTGTTGTAGTACATGCATCCAGCATAAGCATCCATCTCTTTGTTACACCTTTGATGGAGATCCTTCAACCTATAACCAAAAATGAGAGTAGTAAATATGGAGCTATAGCTCGAGAAGTCAAAAAAATGAACAGAGGAGTAAGGTTTCTCACAGTTACAAGATCATAGAGAGTTGATTATCATTCAGGTTTAAGTTGCATAAGCTATAAAATTCATTAACTTTCGCTAACACAACTTGGTTTAAACTAAATAATATCAAGATTTTAAGCAGCCAACATGTATTCAATAAGACCAAGTCTATGTTAGTGGAAATCCACCAAAACATGGCCACTCCCCGTGTTGTCTTTATATCTTCTCCACCTTCCACACAGTCAGCCCTAACCTAACCCCAATCCCCCCGTGATTCAGGCTATTGACCAATGGCTATGTAGCAGGATACACACTGTTACAGGCATATCAGATGACAATAAGGGACAAAAATCAATCCGTTGCCATAAAAATTATTCTTTTCCACATTAATGTCATTTCTGGGTGTATAGCGTGGCGTCGACTTCTATTCAAATCTTAGCCTGCATATCAGAGACATCCAAGCGGGGTAGAAAGAGGATTTGCAAGAGATTCAATGTGTGCATTCACCAATAAATGCGCACGCATAAAAGACTTTTGCTAGACAATACCACGACACAGCAAGGCCAGTCTTGTTTGAAGGAAAAAGCATGCGGGGCACGTGGTAGTCAGCGGTATTTAGTTATTGGCTCTCAGAGTTGTTTATCGTAACGTTGATGATGGAGAGATAAAAGAAGTGCAGGAGGAGAAAAATGAATTCCTTTGAGAAAATGAAAATATAAGTAGCCTAGAATGGCATTTGGTGTAGAGAGGATGAATCGCTTGTTGAGTCGAAGGAAGGGATTACCTTAGGTACTTATCTATGACTCTCTCTAAAGTGGGTCTGCATTAGTTTAAGAGAATTAAAATGTCACCGAGAAATAACACACGTAACGGAGTNATAATAAGGGGATGACAATATCCAACCAGCCTTTTATTTCAAGCAATTCAAATTAGCAAGACACTCAAAACTACCCTTGATTTCATAGGGTTAATCACTCAAATATATCCCTATACAGAATATTCAACTACTCTGATCAATAATGTTTAGCAAAGGCATGGTGACCTAGGAAGAAGATCGTCAAAGCAACCCAATTACATAACGTAACTCATGCAATACACACTCATCTGCACATGCCAAAAGGATATAAACAGTTACAAGTATTCATTACGTCACAAGAATTCCCAGCTTCTATGCTTAATGCATACTTCTCAAAAAAAAATTAATCCCAGCACACATACAAAAATATAACCTCTGTTGACTTCATAATCGATTTAACATTCCTACTACTAGGGGTGGGCATAAAATCCGAAAAACCGAATTCCGATCCGGACCGAATTAATTCGGTATTTCGGTTTCGGTATTTCGGTCTAATTCGGTATAACATTTTCGGTATTTCGGTATTACGGTACGGTCCTCGGTATTAGGATCTTGAAATTTCGGTATACCAAAATACCGAATTTGTAAAGAATATTATGTTGGACCTATACTGCCCAGCCCAACCCAATATGTTGTACATCTAATTCTCCACACTGCTCTAGTACCCAGCCGGCCAGCCCAACCAAACCCAATAAGGCCCAACAGAAACCTCTTTAGTCTTTCATTACAGGGAATTAGGGATTAGGGAATTAGAAGGGAGAAACAGAAACGGAGAAACCTAACCTAAGAGAATAGAGATCGGCTACGTTGATTGTGATAGAGATCGGTGGTGAGATCGGGTTCTAAGCATACTTGTCTATGGCCTGAGGAAATGCCTTTGTCCCTGCTATGGAGATGACAAAATGGTTTGACACCAACTAGTAAGTGACACATCAACCTTTTCTTTTCATCGGATATATGATTTATCTTGTCTGTGTGCTGATTTATGGGTTTTATTGTTTGATCCAGCCACTTCATCAGTTCATTGTCCCTGAGTTGGGACCTGATGTTAAA